GTGAGCATAGCGCGGCGAGCACGGCGCGGCGAGCATGGCGCGGTGAGCATGACGCGGTGAGCACAGCGCGGCGAGCACGGCGCGGTGAGCACGGCTCGGTGAGCATGGCGCGGTGAGCACGGCTCGGTGAGCATGGCGCGGTGAGCACGGCTCGGTGAGCATGGCGCGGTGAGCATGGCGCGGCGCGGCGAGCGAGGCGCGGCGAACTTGAACGCATCATTATTGAACGCATCACCATTGAACGCGGCAGTGTTAAAGGTTGGCGCGGCGCAGGATGGCATGGCAGGCACCACACGCACGCACGCACGCACGCACGCACACGCACGCACGCACACACACACACACACACACACACACACACACACACGCGGCGACGGCTTGGCTGGGCGCGGTGGCCCATTGCTTTATGCTCTTTTTTATGACGGCGGGTGATCGTTAAAAGGCGGCCGGAGAACGGCGACCAGAGCTGCATAGGGCCGCGCGGCAGCTGCTAGGCCTGAACAGCACTACAGGGGCACGGGCACGGGCAGAGGCAGAACCACGCGAGAGCCCCACTGCCTAAATACATTGGACTACTGCTTGCGCGTTTCTGCTGCTTTAACTGGCGAACTTTTAACTTTACGCTCTGGCAGTGCTACGGCGTTTCTGCTTTTGACGCTGACAACTGACAACTTATCGCTTCAACTAACAAACGGACTTTTGCACTTTACTTGAGTACAAGCTGCTGATTACTACGTATCATCTGCTAAAAACAACCACATTTCATTGAGGTCGAAATAAATCGCAATTATTACATCCCCAACGGTCACCAATGTGAAAAACATTCCATTTATAGGCGGTCATGAAAAATGTAAAAAACAACAAACACAATTTAATGTAATTTTTCCTTACCGCAGAGCCGGAGACCACCATGTCCAGCTCCGTCATGATGGCGACGCAGGTGACAGCCGCGTCGTGGCCGTACAGCGTCTGGATGGGCTTGGGGGCCGCCGGGTTGGAGGCGCCGCCACCGGAGCCGCCCGTGGCAGTCACAACGCCCAGGGCGCCGATGCCACCGCCGAGGCCGCCGCCGATGTGCCCGCCGTCAGAGGAAGCGCCGCCGCCCGCCAGGTCCCAGACGACGCATGTCGTGTCCCGGGAGCCCGTCACGAGGAACCAGCCACAGCGGTCGAGGGCCACGCACGTCACCAGGTCTGCGAACACAAAGAACAGACCCGTCAGCGCGCTGCTTCGCTTGGGCCAGCCCAGCCCCCAGCACACTACGGC